GTCAGGAGACATGTGATTAAAAAATAATAATTAATAACACAAAGCTTTGATATTTTTAAAAATTAATTTTATTAATATGTTTTATACCAACATAGTTTCCCCCAGTTTTACTTCCTTTGAAAGAGCCATTACATATAAAAATGTACTATTTTTCAAAGACAAAAATTTAAAAGGAAAGGAAAAAAAAAATCAGCATAAGTGATTATAAAAGTCTGAAATAAAGTCCCATCTCTCTACAAAGGAATGAGGAGGAAGATTCTTCTCATCTCTTCTTTCAATCTATGATTGTTCCTTAAAATTTTGTCACATTCATTTTTTAAAATTTTTTCTTGTGATTCTTTCCATTTATGTTTTTATAGTCATATACATATTGCTTGTCTTGCTCTGCTTAACTTGGTAACAGTTCATAGATGTCTTTCCATGCTTCTCTCTACATTAATCATATCTTACAGAGCAGTAATATTCTATTGCATTCATGGACCACAGTTTGTTCAGCCATACCCCAAGAAATGGACATCTACTTGGTTTCCAATTCTTTGCTATCACAGAAAAAATGCTGCTATCAATATTTTTGTGTCAAGGCTTTGATTTCTAAAAGAAAAATTAAGTCACTTTCTTTTTGGAGAATATCTAGGAAAGATGCAAGGAAAACAACTTATCAAAGTCAGATCGAAAAGGAGAAGGTGTATTATGCACATGGTGCATTTAAGTAATTTAATTTGGATAGTAACAACAATAATAACAATAATGCTGAAAACAACAGCAGTAACAACAACAATAATAATAATAATCCCTTTGGTCAGATTCAGAGGCAATGATGTCAAGACTGAGAACAAGAGTCCTGAGTTTTAGTTCCAGCTCAGACACTAATTCACTGTGTGTTCCTAGAGAAGTCTTTTCCTCAGACTCAGTTTCTACCCCTCTAAAATGAATGAATCTTCTCTATGGTCCCTTCTAGCTCCAACATTCTAGCATTGTAATTCTATGCTAAATGAATTGATGGTTTCCATCCTGTGGTTAGATTATCAGTACCATAAGGACAGGCAGCATGACTGATTTAATCTTGGTGTCTCCCCAACACCGAGCAGAGTACTCCACTTTGTTATTTTATTTCTGGAAGAGTTGAGGGAGGGAGGTTAGGTTGCCCAGATACATAATTTCACATAGATAGAGACTGCCCACTGTTCAAACTGTTTACAAGAAGGCAGATTGCCAACTTTCTTGTAATTTATAGTTTTAGAGACTTGCTTTGGTCATTGAGTGTTTAAGTTAATGTCAAAGGATCACCCAGAAAGAATATGTCAGAGGAAGAATTTTAACCCAGAACTTCCCAACTCTAAGGACAGCCCTTTATTTTCTTCTTCATTGGTTCTAATTCCAAACATAATAAAAACTTGATAAATACTTTAAAAAAATATGAAGTTGATGTTAAAACAGTGATATTGATGGACTTTGTTCAGAGGATGCAAAACAGCAGGATATAGTGGAAATGATACTGTTTTTGGAGCCAGAGGACCTAATTTTAAATCCTTACTCTTCTAATAAGTACCTCTATGACCTTGGGCAAATTACTTAATTTTTTTAATACCTGAATTTTCTTCTCTATTAAAAAAAAAATTGAGTGGGAATGATGATGGCCTGACTTTGATCTGACTTTGGCCTGCCAAGATCTAAATATTCTTGGAGAACTAGAGCCCCTTCCTGTTTTGACATCTGTTTAGCAGGCAGTCCTTCCAGACTTACTATGACCAAGATAACCCACATCTTCTGATTCCCAATCTACTACTCCTTCCACTACACTATGTTGCCTTCATTCATTTCAATGAGTGTTTTTTTCTTCTCTCAGTACAAAAGTAATATCTAATCTATATGTATACAATAGATCAGAAGGAGTAGCAAGAAAGCTAGGTTATAATTTCCCAAAAATGTGTGGTCATAATATCACTGGGTTAGAGCATAGGGCTGAAGATAGATGGATGGGTGGAGATAATATCTAGAGATTAGATAGAGGATTTTCAGGCATTTACTATATCAGAAAATGTGCTAAGTACTTAGAATAAAAATTCAAGTGAAATAGTCAACCCTTTCCCTAAAGGAGCTTATATTATAATGGGGAAAAGGGGTACTTAAAAGCTGGAAAGATGGGTAGGACAAGATGGAAAAATCTGAAGCCTTGAGGAAAGTGGAGATCGATGGCCACAGTTTAAGTATCCATCTAAGGAACTTAGAGTACAGTAAGAGAGCTAAAATATGGACACAAATAACTATAATTGAAGGTATAGCATGTAAGTCCAATCGGAATGTTAAAAAAAATTGTCTGGCAATTCAAAGGAAAAAGAGATTACATCTGGCCAGAATTGTGGAAAGCTTCCAGGAAAAAGTAGCATTTAAGTTGGGCCTTAAAACATAATTCAGGCCTACCTTGGGCTTTAAGGATGGTTAAGATTTAGAAAGATGCATCTGGATCTTGAAGAATGGATAAGAATTATATATGTGGAAGCTGGTCCTTGAAGGATGAGTAGAAATTGGACACAGAGAACTGGGGAGAGAATGGGCTTCTAGGGGGAGAGAACCATTTTCAGGGAAAGGTAAAACTAGTCCAGTATTGGTGAAGAAAAAGATTTATGTACAAGGGAAGTGAGAAGGAAGGACAGAAAAGAAGGTTGGGACCAAATCACATAAGGTCTTCGGTACCCATTGTGGGTATGTTGGTTCTTTTTGTTGACCACATGGCTATATGGAAAGCAATTATTTCACAAATGCAGGTAGTTGTTAACAAGTCAAATTGAGAGAGATAATGTGTGGATGATTAAGGACAAAAATAGCCCTACTTGTGAAAATGCATTTCAAAGTCCAATCCTTCCAATAATGGGATGGGAAAATAATTTTTTACATATGTTACAAAGGACGGGAATTAACAGGTTTATGAGGGCATGACTATTAATTTCTTAGTGTGGAAATCAGTTTGTTCCACAGATCTAAGTGCTGCCCAAAACAAACTCCACATTTCAGAAAAAAAAAAATATAGAAAAGAAAATGGCCTTCTTTGCTGGATGAATTGATAATTAACTTATGAAATTATAAAATAGGGGCAGGCATGCCTAGATTTTTGGATACTTACCAGGAAAGACCATGATTGGCAGCAGGAAATGGGGCAGAAATCACACTTAATAAAGTACAGAGATAAGTGATGAAAATATTACAGAGGCAGAATGTGGTATGGGGATAGGGAATGGGATGGTGAAGGAAGGTGGCATGGGTAAGAAGATGGGGAGGAAGAGGCAGAGAATAGCATCACATGACCATAGATTAGTGTTGGGAGCACTTGAACAGCACGAGCCTTTAGGAAATGGAAGAGTGCTCGGAGGGCAAGAGTTGGAGGACTCATTTTTCTAGGATATTGGGGGAGAAACAGACCGACGATCTATGCCATATTTGGGTTAGTTTATTAACATATCCAAATCATCTCAGAGTTATAAGTAAAATTCCAAAGTCATCATTCCAAAGTTATCAGCATCTTTTTTATATTCTGCTGGTCTGGAACTGTGGAAGACTAGATGTTATCTGCTATTTACATATCATAGGACCAGAAACCTTGACAAGCAGTGCCTACCTGGTTTCTCCTGGTTACTAGGATGGGAATTTTAGTTAATAAATGATACAGTTTATAAATTATGCTCCTTGATCTTGGCAATGGTTTATACATGATTTCTAGGTTCCCCTTTGCCACCTTATTTCCTTCTAAAACTTAGTAATTAGAAGGGGTAGGAGTAGTCAAGGACACCAGAACAAGATGTAATTTTAACATGCTAGAGATATATTGAATTGTTGGTTTTAAAATTCACAAAGGGGAAAAGAGACCTTTCAGAATTTTCCCTCTAGGACTGATGAGGTGGCAATTAGATCCACTTAACCCATTCTTAGGGTGTGTGCTATACTGGGAAGAACACTGAACTTGGAGTCAGAAGCCTGAATTTGAGGTCCAGATTCACCACTCACTATGTGACCTTGGTCAAGTTTGAAGAGTCCTAGACTTGGAGTCAGAGGTCCTGGGTTTGAATACCAACTTTGTCACTTATTTTTTGTGTGACTTCGGCCTAATGCCTTACCTTTCTGGGCCATAGTCTTTTCAACTGTAACAATATATGAGATTAGTCTAAATGACTTCTAATGTTCCCTCCAAATCTATGCTCTGAAAACCTCCATTTCTAGCCATGAAACAGCACAAAGATGGTTGGCTTTGGAGCCAGGAGTTGGGTTCAGATTCTGGCTCTACTGCTTACTCCTTTGGGACCGTGGGGAAATCTTTTATTCTCTCTGGGCCTCATTTCTCTCATCTGTAAATTGAAGAATTTGGGTCATATGACCTCTGAGGTCTCTCCTGACTCCAAATTCTACAATGCCTATGATCTTGTCATATGGCAGGGAGATATGGAATACAATAATAACTGAAGAATTTAAAATGAGTATTCCATAGAGAACAGTGGAGAAATTCATGGCGCGTATGTGCTCTACCACCAAGCTCTGAAAGTAACAGCGTATGACCAACTGAAAACGTTTAAAAAGGACAGAAGTATAGGATTTCATTAAGGCAACGTATAATAGGAAAAAAAGATAGGCTGGTCACAAAGTGGGGGTGGAGAGTGACAGGTGGACAACTCCACTGATAGTTTTACCAGTCAAGAGAAAGTAAGGAAGACCCAATACATAGACTGGATTCCCTTTGGAGAACATATAAGGTAACATGAAATAGAGTTACACAGAATGGGCAGACAAGGCAAGGTGGCAGTTGGCATCATTGCCACTTCCAAATCAACAAAATCACAGATGAGTACTGGCCTCACAAAGCTGAACTTTTATTACCTCTTCTGCAAAACAGAGATGCTGATACGTTCACTACCTTCCTTGAAGGACTGCAGAAAGGAAAACAATATGTGAACTACAAAATGCTTCATGAATAATTGTTTACCTCTTTCCTATCTTTGCAATGCATTTCTCAGGATCCAAAGACAGAGTCAGATTGCTTTGGATGTCCGGAATTCTGAATACTTCACCAGCATGCCTCCCCTCCCAGCAGAATGCCTTGATATTGATGGAGACTGGAACACCCTACCAGTCATTTTTGAGGATAGATACGTGGAATGTCCTGGGAAAGGTTAGTAACATTAGAAGGGCACAAAGAACAAAGATTTAAATTTAAATGATTTAAAGGGCAAGGATCAAAGGTGCTATTTTTCTGACAACCCTAACCAGTGAATTCTGGTCAAATCACTAAAATAACTAGTCAGTACAATGAAAGAACAAGAAATCAGTGATATAACTTATATAATGAATCCACATACTTTTATTTATTTTTTTGTTTTTGTTTTTTGATGAGGCAATGGGGGTTAAGTGACTTGCCCAGGGTCACACAACTAGTTAAGTGTCATCAAGTGTCTGAGGCCAGGTTTGAACTCAGGTCCTCCTGACTCCAAGGCTGGAGCTCTATGCACTGTGCCACCTAGCTGCCCCTCCACATACATTTATCAAGCATTCTTTAAATGCATAGCCCAGTACAAAATAGTGGAGAAGATATTTTTAAAAATAATAAGACATAGTTCCTGTCCTTCTGGAGCTTGCAGTTTTGATACGTAAAAAGTTCGAGAGGCATAATTTCTGGGAAATTAATCATTTTATTAATCACGCTAGTAATAATAAAAAGGGTCAGTGACACTCTGGAATGTCAAAGACTTTTCATGGAACCCATTCAATGCTTATATGCCCTTGGTAGAATGAGTGTTCCTGAGGGTGGTGATTGACTCTGATTGGTTAACAAGTAATGAGAGAGAACGACTATTATAATGAGAAGTGGACCTATTCTAATGAAGGGCTAGAGTCATGAGTTTGATCACATCATTTACTTCCAAACCACCCCCAACCTAGCTCAATCTAATCAAAAAATTTATCCCCACCCAAACCTGAGCAGAACACAATGGACTTCCCCACCTGGGTGGGTTCTGAACAAGATTGAGGAGGAAGTTAATCCAATCTCATTATCAGCAATGTCCTTCAGATGTTGGTTTGGCCTGGTAGAGAATAAGGTTTCAGAGAGAGATAAATCCTGTGTCTCCCCAATATTAACACTTAGTTATTTAATAATTATTTCTCTCACAGGGATATAAGCCACAAAAAAAGAGAAGTCTTAGTAAGTAATATCGTATAGTAATGATATTAAGAGCATTACAGAACAAATTGCTATTTGACATCTAAGGAAGAACATCATTAATATCTAAGCCAGGGGTGGGGAGCCTTCAGCTTCAAGGGCACACGTGGACTTCTAGGTCCTTCTAGGTGCAGCCTTTTGACTGAGTCCAAGTTTTACAGAACAAATCGTTTCATTAAGTGGATTTGTTCTGTGAAGTTTAGATTCAGTCAAAGGGCTGCTCTGTCAAAGGGCTACGTGTGATATCAAGGCCACAGGTTTCCCCACCCCTGATGTAAGCAATGGAGTCAAGGAAGAATTTCAGTTGTACTTTAGAGGACTGGTAGTAATTCAATGGGGAAAAAGGAGAGGGTATTCCAGGTAATAGGAATAGTATATAGGGGAGTTCAGAGCATATTTGCAAGGCAACCCAGTCTGATGGAAGGGAGTAAAATAAATACAGTGACTCCAGACTTTGGAGGGCATTTTGCTTCCTTGCTTCTGAAGATTTTTTTTTCTTTCTTTTTTTTTTTCTTTTCTTTTTTTTTGTTGTTGTTGCCTAGGCAATGGGGCTAAGTGACTTGCCCAGGATCACACAACTATTAAGTGTCAAGTGTGTGAGGTCACATTTGAACTCAGGTCCTCCTGATCCTACGGCTGGTGCTCTATCCACTACACCACCTAGCTGCCCCCTACTTCTGAAAGTTTTTGAGCAAATGAGTGATTTGGTTATATACGATGAAAGACGGATGAATAGATTAGAATGAGGATAGTGGGAGATGAGAAGACTTTTTATGAGTCCTTTGCAATAGTTTTGGTAGAGGTAGAAAAGAAAACTTTGTCCCAGAGTAGCAGCAATGGGACTAGCAAAGATATAGACTCAGATTGGCATTTCAGTTAATTGATCATGAGTATCACCATATTCTCCCTCATCTTCTTATAATCATCAACATTGATCATTATTTCTATCCCATTACAGGGAGCTCAGTTCATTTTCATTGAACACATATTTATCAATTGCCTACTACAATCTAAAGAGTACTGCACTAGTAAAACAAAGATGAAAACCAACACAGAATCTGCCATTGAGGGCATGACAGTCTTGGTGTAGGATAAGTCATGGACACTGTAGAAATAAAAAAGCCAAGTTCTTCAGTGTTGGCTTTAGGATTCAGCTCTGTTAGAAACACATTTTATTCCGTTTGTTAAGCAGTTGCTCAGAGGTAAAATATCTGATGGAGAAACCTCTCTGTCACTCAAGTGGTCTGGTTTAGTACAAAAAGTCTGGGGCTTAAATATTATGAAAGTTCTCAAAATTTTCTCATATGTCAAGGTTTTTGTTACAACTTCAAATCAAGAGCAAAATATTCATCAGAGTTAATAACATGGCTTCAAGGACTGTAGAAAGAGCTAAAGGTATTGAAAATTACAAAGATCTGAACAGCAGTATATATGATTAGAAAAGACTTAACTGTATCTGCTCATGGAACAAAATGTGTCTTCTGATATAACATCACTGACTTAGACCTGGACGGGGCCTCAGAAGTGCTCTAATCCAACCTCCTCATTTTATAAATGAGTAAACTTAAGTCCATGAAAATTTGTTGTTCTTAGTCCTTTGTTTTCAAAGGGGACTAATGACACCAGGGCTGTGATGTCATGACTTGCAAGTAAATTGGATGTAAGTGAGGTAGAGCTATGCAAAGTTATCAGCCTCACTCTCTCCTCCAGAGTCATCAGAGTCCAGAGGCAAGACATAGATTAGGACAACTGGCCATGGCCCCAGTTGTAGTGAGAGACCCTGGACTTTTTAAACTAAGGTCTTTCCCAGGTCTCAGTTTGTCTGAGGCAACATCCATTCAGTAATTAAAGGCTAGGTAAGAATGGAGGCAAAAGATGGCCTAGTTTGCCTTCACAAAAGACTCAGTCTGGGAGGGGAATACCTTCTGAGTTTCCGGCCAAACAGAAACACTTGCTATTTACATTCATTTAGCCATCAAAACCCAAACAATGAGCAAGTGGGGTTAGGGCTGGGACCTATTATTGGCTAATCAATGAGAGCCACAGTGATGAAAATTTAGTCACTTACTCAAGGTCTACTAGGTAGTGAACATCAGAGACAAGAATTCTCTCAAATCGTTGTAGTTGTCAGAGGTAGTATGAAGAAATTTGGAAAGGTGGGAGTGAACAGAATGAAATTTAAGGATGGCAAGGCCAGCTTGGCTAAAACAAAGAATGAGTGAAGCAGAATACTATGAAATGAAGCTAGAAAGTGACATTGGAAATATATTTAAGAGGGCATTGAATGTCAGGATAAGGCTTTTGCATTTTATTTTATAGGCAATAGGAACACTGAACATATCCATTTAAAAGGAAGACAGTCCTTTGAAGGTTGGATCAGAAAGGGAAGTTAGCAGGTGCTAAGGGAAGTCTATGAAGTGCTAGAACAATTGTTGGGCAAGTCACAAGTACAAGATTTTGAAAACCTACTTCAACATTATTTTGGATGAAAATGACTTCTATGTTTTTGAGTACTGAAGGCTCAAGATTAGTTCGTAGAATATAGTGGTCAAAAAAAACTAACATGATCTTTGGCTAATGTAGATATATAGGACAGTGTACAGAATAGGAGAAGTAGTCCTGTTGTATTCCACCCTCATCACAACACATCTAGACAATTATGTTTAGTTATAGGTGACATTTTGGGAAGGACACTGTCAACTTGGAATGGAGCCCAACAGGAGGAACCAGGAAAACAAGACAGTAAGAAAAATATCAAGTGAGCTTAGGTCGAAGAAATTTGCAATATTTAGACCACAGAAGAAAAAACATTGTAGGGGGACATGATCACTGCCTTCAAGCATTTGAAGAGCCATCATATAGAAGGGCATTAGTCTCATGTTGCTGGTGCTCCAGATAGCCAAACTAGGAGAGCAATGAGCAGTATTTGGAGAATGTCAGATTTAAGCTAAGCAAAGAAAAATCCTTATAATTAAGGCTCTTCAATAGTAGAATGAGTTGTTTCCAGATGTAGTGAGTTCCTTGTCACTACCCAAGCATAATCTCTATAACCATTTGTCCAGGATATTACAAAATATATTTCAGTTCAAGCATGGGTTGGATTCAGTAAGGTGTTTAATGAGTAGTTCTTCAAGAAAAAAAAAATAACTGCACATATGACACTCTTTTTTTAAAAAAATTCTTTATTATTTATTTTAAACTTAAATATTCAAATTTAAATACACAATTAGAAAAGGAAACACACTCTTAAATTTAATCTGCATCACTAATGTTTTCTCCATCACCTTATTAAGTCTAAAAACCAACAAACAACATATCAATCCCTGTTTGGAAGCATTTTCTAAATTCCAAGGGGTAACTGTTATTACTGAAAATTTAACAATCAACTCAGCTCAAGTGAGTTAGTTTTCACTGGTTCTAGCACATCACTGATTAATATTTATTAAATCTGAGATTTCTTCCAATGGAAATTTTCCTGTTTGTTCATTTTTTTCTCTCGGTCTCAGTTTCCTAATATGTAAGGTTAGAATAACTGTCCAACATTTTTAAAGAGTTTTAACAAAAAAGACTTAGACAACTGTAGCATATTAACTAAAGGAGAACTATTATTACTGTCCCATTGATTCAAAAAGGAAAAAAAACATGTTTTATGCATTAATAATAATAATAAATCCTTATTGGTTGATGTGTGTTATTGTTCAATCATGTCATGTCTGCTCAGTCACATCTGATTCTTTGTGACCCCTTTTGGGGTTTTCTTGGCAAGGATACTTGACTGGTTTGCTGTTTCCTTCTCCAGCTCATTTTACAGGTGAGGAAACTGAGGCAACCAGGGTTAAGCGACTTGCCGAAGGTCACACAGCTAGTAAATGTCTGAGGCCAGATATGAACTCAGGGATATAAGTCTTCCTGACTCCAACTCTGGAGCTCTATCCACTGCACCAACTAGTTGCCCCCACTATATGTATGAGCCCTAGCCAAAGCTTTCTGTTTCTATTTTTTAAAAAGTATAGTATAAGACAATGTGAAAAGTTGTAAGAAGTAGAATGCATGTTGTTTTCTTTAAGGTTGCCCCCATAATGGTTAGGTTAAAATAATGTTTAAAAAAGCATGCCAAGTAACACCTGGAGGAAGAGGAGAGATGCATGCTTGTGTTTGTTGGGGTCATTGGAAGTAGTCTCAGTTAGTGGTTCTCTGTGCTTGTCTGACATCTAGTGGTAATGCCTTGAATAAAGCCTACTGGTTCTTTTTCTTGCCCTGGTGAGTTGCTGGTGGGCCTTATTAATGTCAGTTCTTTTGCTTGCTTGTAAAAACAATGACAATGACATCATCATCATTTTTATAGGACTTTTTTGGGCTTTTTAGAGATTTTCCCATCTAGAATGCATGTATATTGTGTAATGTGTAAAGGGAAAGAATGAAAAAACTCAGGTTTGGAATTTATTTGTAAGAGAAGATATTGGGAAATGACATGCAGAGCACTGGATTTTGAGCCCAGAAAACTTAGGTCCAAATACCACTTCAGACATTTACTAGGTATATGACAATGGGCAAATCACTTAATATATTAGTGCCTTGTTTTCCTCGTTTGTAAAAGGTAGACTTGAACTCAATGATGTCTAAAGTGTTCCTATTTCTAAATCTATGGTCCTATGACCAAAACTCTGATCTCAGTTCTGTGACCTTGGAAGGATTAATTCATTTCACTTAACTTCACTTCAGTAACCATTACCAAGCTTCTGTTATACACCAAGATACAGAGAGAAAAATGAGTTCTGGTCTTTGTTGAACTCACAATTTACTGGAGAAGGGGAATAATTTGCACTTTTATAATATACAATATAAAAAATAATTGAGAGGCGACAGTAAAAACTGGAGAGTTCAAGAAAGGCCAAGTGTAAGAAATGGGCATTTGAACTGAGTTTTGAAAGAAGACAGGGATTCCAAGAGGCAGGTGTGAGGAGGGAGTGCATTCCAGACACAAAGGACAGCCTTTGTTAAAAGCACAGAGATGGGGATGGAACCTCATGGCAAGAGAACAGCAAATAGGGAAGTATGGCTGAAACATAGATTATATGAGGGGGAGTAATGTGAATACGCCGAGAAAGATACATCTCCAGGCCTCAGCTTTCTCATCTCTAAAGTGAGACGTTTGTACTAAATTATCTTTAAAGTCACTTGTAGCTCTTAACCCTATGAAAACTTGGAGGAATATGTCATAGTTTTAAATGTCCTTTGTAACCAGGAGCATGCTGGTAAATGTTTAACAACTGGCTCCTTGGTGGGGGTGGGAATTGGGGTTAAAGAGTATGCAGCACACTTAATAACATTTTATTCATTATTCTCTTAAGATTATACAATTAACAAAACAATAAAACAAACCCTGATTTGTAGTATTTGCTGATTTCCAAGGGGTAAGTCCTCACACTAAAAATTTAAGAACTGGCTCTTCCTGTCTCAACACAATTCTGGATAACAACACCCATTTCTTTAGTACTTTATGGTTGCATGGCATGTTCTTATGTGTTATTTGATTTGACTCCAGGACAATCATGTGAGGTCAGCAGTGAAAGTATTATCATCCCCATGTTACAAATAAGGAAAATGGGCCACAAAGACATGAAGTGTCTTGTTTAAAGACCACAGAGCTAACAAACTTGAGAGCCAGACCTGTACTCTAGGCCTCCTGACTCATAGAGCAGTTAGTTCCTTGAAGGATGGGACCCTCTATTATCAAAGTTTCCTCTCTGTCCTGTTATAAGACTTTGCTAGTAGGTGCTAAATCCATGTTCGTTCAATTGAATTGAACCAAACTCTTTGAAGGGAGCCCATAATGTAGACATTTTTGATAAGGGACTACTTGATAACTTGAAAGTTTCTACAATTCACCTAAATAAAATATGATATTTCATTTTTTTTCTTTTAGGGTACAATTTGGGGATTTCCCCAAATGTTGCTCCTGTTAAAACTACCCCAAAAGTGGAACAAAAGGAAAAAGAGAAGAGTCAACAATCAAATACTAATGCAACATCTGAGAAGACAACATTCAGGGAAGATGCTTCTTTACCACACAACTTTGAAATGGACTGTCTGTGTCCTGGTACAGGTGGGGAAGTATCCACGGACAGATACTCACCCCCTAGTTCAGTATCTCAGGTATACTTGACAATTGGTGAATCCCAGGATGAAATGGGTTTACCTCAAGAGCCTCCAACAGCTTCAGCAGATGATCCTGCAACTGATGTCAGGCCCATTGTTTTAACACAATCTGTACCAGACCTGAGCGGATCTGAGCAGACTGTGGCTGGAGATAGCAATCTGGCTTCTTGCTTGACATACATTGAAATGAACCCCAGCAATAAGCACTCTGATAATGGTGAACCTGGGCTAGTAATTGCTACTCATTATGAGACCAGGACACCTGTAGATAATTATAGAAGGACTGTGTCGGACGAAGCAGCTGCATCTCCTAACCCTGAGAATGTTGTCTCCACAGACAAAGTTGTATTAAATGAATTAAGTAAGAAGGGGAATCAGGAGAATAAGGCCATGTTGCTATCACTGAAACATCTTCCAGTGAACTTGATTGATCCATTAAGCCCAACACCGAGAGATCCATTGGATATTAAATCATTGCCACGGGATCAAAAGAGTAATGAATGCGAAGTGCTATCAGCACTGTCTGGGACCATCAAACGGTCTTCTTCAGTTATTTCTGACTCAGGCATTGAGAGTGAACCAAGCTCCGTTGCTTGGTCTGAGGCCCGTAGCAGGGCTCTGGAATTACCCAGTGACCGAGAGGTCTTGCACCAACTTGTAAGAAGGCATGCCATCCATAGAAACTCCTTAGAAGGTGGTCACACAGAAAGCAATACAAGCTTGCCTAGTGGTATCCAAGCTTCCCTGACCTCTATTAGCTCTTTGCCCTTTGAGGAAGAAGAGAGAGAGGTGGCCCTGAACAAGCTAACTAAATCTGTTTCAGCTCCTCAGATAAGTAGCCCGGAGGAGTTGGCAGGGGACAGTGACATATCCAGAAGTGACCAGGGGAATTCAGAGACCCTAGATGGCCACTTTCAGAAATACCTTGAAGAAAACCAGGATGAGGGCAGAAACATAAATTCCATTCGGAACTTTCCTGGGTTTCAAAATGAGCCCCCAAAGCATGACTGTGAAGTCTTCCATTCACTAGTGGAGATGATTTTTGATACAGATCACCCACAAGAAGACAAGGGCTACATGGATTTAGCAGAGGTTAACAATAATCCACATTTTCTTTTTGGGCATTGTAGTTTCACCTATAGTGAACCAGTGGTGGATGAAACATCTTATGTTGGTGGAGCTGAGTACTCTTCCATGGCTAAAACCAAAGAACTGACTTTAGACATATTGCATGTCTCTGAAGTAGATACTATCCAGGATGATGTTTCCAATGAAGGTCTACCGGAAAATCCAAAGGCTGGGTCTGAGGTCTCAAAGACCGAGAATGACGTATTTTCTAGTATCAACATCTCAGCCATTGAGGATTTCTCCAAATCCATCCATCAGGTGCCTGAATTTCCCTGCAGTCCCTCTGTAGAAACTGCCAGACCAGACTCAAAGACAGAGAAAAGTAGGGACTCTCCCACTGGTGATGATGCCTCTGCCCAAGAAGGGTCCCATATTTTGCAAGAAGTAGATCTAAATGAAGTCATTGTGGTCAACCACAGCCCAGAAGTCCATGATGTTGATTATCAATGCCTTGAAAACTTTGAATCTAAACCTATTGCCAATGGCAACAACTTCCATTTGGCCACCACTGAGGCATTGGCATTGGACACAAGAAAGGCTGTGGAGGTGGTTAATCTGTCTGTGTCCTGTGCAGCTACATGTCTTCCTTTCTCCTCAATGCTTAAGGAAGCTCCTGCCAAGGTTGGACTTGCTTCTAAACAAAACATATTCCCAATTACCCACCAGCCTGTGGGCTCCTTTGGGGTGGTCTTATGTAATGCAAGAAATTTGGAAGAAGAAGTCAATGAAAGAATGTTTAGGTAAGCTTGAGTGGTGACTCTTTCCAGAGTTCTCCCAGCCTTTACATTTCTCATCATTTTTTTTATTTGTTTGTTTGTTTGTTTTTTCCTAATCTCACCCATCCTTGGCTGAAAACCTTTTCAGAATGCTATTTGGAAAGGAAAGGATTAGAATAGATCCATTTGGTCAGACTGTCTTCTTGTATATGGTGATTTTCTAGCCTCACATAGTGGAAGAATCCATGTTTGGGGTCAGAAGACTGGGATTCAAATTCCAGCTCTTCTAATAAAACATGTAACTTTGGATGAGTCACTTAAACCATCTAGTGCCTTAATTTCTTCACCTGCAAATTTAAGGGACTGAGCTAGATAGATCTCATCTAAGATTTCTTCCAAGCCTATGAAAGATAAAACTTCAAGTTGACAAAGCGTTTACAAGGTAGCTACTCTGCAAGGGACCCTGAGGAAGGTAGCCACCCCTGTGTCCTTGGGAAAACAATGGCAAAAACTAAATAGGTCCTTTCCCTAAGGAGCTTTCCTTCTGTTTAGGAAAATGACAATCATAGACGTCCATGCTAGAAAGAACCTATCGCCTACCCAGTACAGAGATTTTGATGCAACATTCCAGAAAACATTGGTTAAATATGTCTGGATATAAGAAAGTATGCTCCTTCATGAGACGCTCAAGAATTTTGTTGAACAGCTCTAAATGAATTGATAGGAAGTTGGGAAATAAACTTTTCCTGTTTTGTTCCTACTCCTGACTTCAGCTTGCTCCCCTCTAAAAAAATAAATAAACAAAAGGCTTGTATTTACTTTGTACAAATTTGTTAATATACTTCCATGTATATATGTAGTTTTCCCCATTAGAGAGTAAGCTCCTTGAGCCCAGGGACCATCTTACTTTTGCATATATCTCTAGCACTTAGCACAGGACCTGGCAAATAGAAGACACATGATAAGTATTTATTGATTTCTAGGTTAATACAGGAATACCACCTATAATGTCTTTTATTGGTTCCATAACAAACTCACTCATTAAGTGAAATATTATTACCTGGAGAATTTCATTTGGAATCAGGTTATAAACATCATAAATATTCCTAGACTACTATAGTTTAGTGAATACAGACTTAGATCTTAACAGAGGCAGGAGAGCATCTAATCTGCTTATGCTAAGTAATGTCTCCCTTTCCTACCTTCAGAGCCTTGGAGTTTCTTACTTGGAAGGTGGGGCAAGGGCAGAGGGGGAGGGCTCCCATATGTATCTATGGTAGGATGAGTTGTTAGCCTGAAGGGAAGGAGGTTTTCTTTTAATTGTGCTATTTCCCTGAACAATACAATTCCCATACTTGTTTTCTCCCCTCTCCTCTCTGTTACCTGAGGGTGTTCTGCCCAAAGGAAGGTAAATTTTGTTGGCTGGGAGCTGCCTAGTTAACTTGGGGTTTACAGGCTAGATTTCTTTCTCAAAGACCTAAGCCTGAAACCCAATTCACTCTGGATCTCCTGGATTGGACAACAATAGGTTCCTGCCCAAGCACCACTTAATGGCTATATTTTGGGCCCTCCAGGCTCAGAGTGAATGTAAATATTAACTGTTTCTCTTTTGGCCAGCAACCCTGAGGGTCTTCCCCTCCCAGTTTGATTTTTTTTTTCTTTTTTATTAAAGGGGCCATCCCTTGATTCACTTTTTAAAGAGGACTATTCATGGAATGGGTGTTGCCTCACTCCAAGTGAGAACCTGAAAAGACCTCAGCTTAACAGGGCCAAGGTCTCCTATTGCATACTGGGCTATCTCCAGTCTTCCTGATTGATATATGGCCACTGGACCCAGATGGCTTTGGAGGAGAAAGTGAAGCTGGTGACTTTGCACAGCCCTCCCTTACTCAAATCAAAGTCAATTGCAAGTCCTGTCATCTTCTCCCTGATGTCATGGTCCTCTTTGAGAACAAAGGAAAAACCACAACCACACCTCCTTTCAGCTCACTGCTCTACTCTGGAGGAATAAGCAGTGAAAGGTGTCTAGCTACTTTGTCTTTCTCAGTGGGGCAGAGGTTCTGGTGGGCAGCCTGTGGCAACAGATGGGCAAGAATTCCTTCTGATTTGCTGGCATTTCCATGGGCCTAGCCATCAACTCTTTTCTGAATGGCTAAGTATGAAAGGCAATTTGTAACTCTAGGGGTCAGCCATATTTACATCTGTCTTATAGTGTCATTTAGTGACAATGTATTAATGCACAGATTCCATTCATCTGGGGCAACTTTCCATTGTCTGTGGCCCTATTGAGCAGAAATCTAGTGGCCAGATATCCACTCACTCCTTGGCCCTAACTTTGCCCTCAAGAATGAGACAGGAGAGGGGCAGCTAGGTGGCAGAGTGGATAGACCACCAGCCCTGGAGTCAGGAGGACCTGAGTTCAAATCTGGTCTCAGACCAGAAACCTGACACTTACTAGCTGTGTGTAACTTTGGGCAAGTCACTTAACCCTAATTGCCTGGAGGGGGAAAAAGAACGGGGGGGGGGGGGGGGGGGGGGGGGGGGGGGGG